GGGTGGGTTCCTCTGAGCCCCTCGCAGGTTAGCACGGGCCTGGTTCGGAGAGTGGGGTGGGATCGGGGGGAGGTCTGTCGCGTTCCCACCCGTGGTGGTGCCCCTGGGGAGGCTGAGGCCACGAGAGGGCGGTGGTAGGTCCAGGTAACAGGCAGGCTTGCCTGGGGCTCCCAGGCCTGTGCCCCCTCGGCACCACAATAGTTCGGGCGGGGCTTAGTGACCTCCCAGGGTAAAGGTGGGGCGGTGGGACCAGGGCCTGGGTGGGTGGTATTGGAGGTGGGGATGGGGCAGTGGCTGTATGTGGGAGTGTGGAGAGGGAGATTGGATTCGCGAGTTCCTCTGAGCCCTGTTTACTGCCCTTCTGGCTTGCACTTCTGGACACGGGGGCTGGCGAAGCCCGCTGGGCGCCCTGTGCTGCCCCTGGCCTCGGAGCCACCCCCTGGTGCCTAGTTTGAGGCCTGCCCCGCAGTGCAAACACCATGGCTCAGGATCATCTGTCCTCCGGGCTGAGCTTGCCCCCCAGGAGGGTCTCGGGTGTGCTTCAGCACCGCCTCCCCGGCTCCCCACCTCAGCTGGAGAGGAGCCTCTAGACCCGGGAAGCTGTATAAACAGCCCATTTCTGGCCCCAAAGCATTAGGAGCAGTCCAGACCCCGTGACACCTGAGAGGCACTGTGAAGGCTATGGCTTGGAGGGGGGAGCTGGTGAGTGAGCCACACCGAGGCCCCCAGGAGCAGGGATGGGTAATCAGTAACCCCTGGGCACACTCCCCCAGAGGCCTGGCCAGGCCGGCCTGATTTGGGATTTACTAAGTAAACAACTCCCCTTCCCCCCTCTGACCCCAGATTAGAGGGGCTTGTCAGCTCAGCCTCGGGCTGTGAGTCCTGGGGGTTCCAGAGGACTCTAAAGAGAAAGGGGGCCCTCCGGGGATTACTAGTACCCACCACTCCTTTCAGAGCCAAAGAACCAAACAGTGAGCTCTGATGCCCTGGGTGACATCTGGTCATCCGGTTGCCTGGAAACGTGGAGCAGGCTTCTCAGCCACTGAGAAAGGCCAGCTCTGGAACGGAGCTCTGTGATGCAGATCTCTGCTGCCTTCTCTGGCTCTGCGGCCCAGAGGGGAGACAGACCACGTCAGAGCATCCAGAGAGAGCACGTGGTTTCAGGAGGGAGAAAAAGATGGACTTTGCCGGAGCGCTTTTCCAATTCTGCCCACACCCAAGGCCCATCATGAGCCTACTTCTCCCAGGAAGTTTCCTTTTAAAAATGCAGATGACATTCCTTTAATTAACAGTGGTTCTCAACCTTCTGGCCCTTTAAATATAGTTCCTCATGTTGTGACCCAACCCTAAAATTATTTTCATTGCTACTTCATAACTGTAATGTTGCTACTGTTATGAATCGTAATGTAAATATCTGATATGCAGGATGGTCTTAGGCGACCCCTGTGAAAGGGTCGTTCGACCGCCAAAGGGGTCGCGACCCACAGGTTGAGAACCGCTGCTTTAATAACAACGATGTTTACTGAAGTGCCCATTGGCTCTTGCTGATGCAAAGTGGACGTGCTTGTCCCCTTTACCCATGAAGCCCAGGGAGATGAGTGCCAGGGGCCACCTGGCTGGAGAGAGGAGCTGGTCTGGAACCAACCCTGCACGCTCACTCCACCCATGTGGCCTGCGGGCTGCCTCATGAACGCTGCTTTACCCTCCCTCACATTGTCTCCCCAGACCGTGGTGCGTTTTTTACTTAGCGCTGCATGGTTGCGGTCCTTGGGGGATCTATTTCAGGAGCCTCATTCTGGGACCCCCCTAAGCTCCTAGACCTGGATCCTCCACAGGATAGAACTGACTTGCTTCCTTCAGTTCTCGGAAGGTTCTGCTCATGGCCTGAATTGTGCCAATCCGGGCTGCCCAGAGGGCACTTTGCACAATATACAGATGGGGCACTAGGTTTGCCGATTGCCTTTGGCCAAGTTACTTCGACTTTTAACCGAGCTCTGTGGCTCAGGCTTCCCAGCCTGACAGAAAAGAAGGTCGGGAAGGAAGTCTGAGAACCTGTGGCCTGGCCGCTGGGAACCAGAGGCGGCCTGGGAGCGCCATGGAGGACGCACTGGGTGGTGGTCAGTGCTCGTCTACTGCACTGTGGCTCAGAGCCGCCTGGAATGTATTTAGTGCTGGGCCCTTTGCCGGCCCCAGGGACAGAGGCACCGACCCACTTGAGAACGATGCCTAGGCTCTCACCGACTCGGGGAAGTGCCGTGGTCTTCCCCTTCTAGGCCTCAGTCTCCTCTTCAGTGCACCTGGCAGTGGGTACCCGTAGGGGCATGGAGGCAGGTCTGTAATTGGAAAAGGAAGGTTGGACGGTTGGGTGCTCATTTTCTGTAAGGTTATGTCGTAATACACACACGTCTAGGCTAGGTTTTGCTCTTACTCCCTCATTAGTGTAAGAGACTTACTTTTGGGGGGGATGGGGAACATTACTTAGTTTGATGTGATTGACATCATACTTTAGGATTTTCTGTCCTTTTTTTTGTTTTGTAATCCTCATTCAAGGATATTTTTCCATTGATTTTTAGAGAGAGTGGAGGGGGACAGAGAGAGAGAGGGAGAAACATTGATGTGAGAGAGACATATTGACTGGTTGCCTGCACGTACCTCAACCAGGACCTGGGATCAAACCTGCAACCCAGGACATGCCCTTGACCGGGAATTGAACCCACAACACTTGGGTGTGCTGGCCAGGACAGGGTTTTCTGTCCTTTTGCGTGGAATGTAAATCTAAGAACCTATCAGTGCCTGCACCAGGGCCCCACCTCCAGGGCAGGGTGCCACCCTCCCCACTCCATGTCTATTGCTTTAGACCAGCTGCCCTTTGACTGTCACCTGGGTCCAGAGCTGCCAGTGGAAGCTGGCTCAGTTCCCTCCAAGGTCTGGGCCCTCTCCTTTGTCCTGTACAAACACATGCCCTTGGGCCTCTGGCTTTTTCCTCTCCTAGGCTGGCAAAGCACACAGGCTCAGTGCTGAGGAGAGGGACCAGCTGCTGCCAAACCTGAGGGCCGTGGGGTGGAACGAGCTGGAAGGCCGAGATGCCATCTTCAAGCAGTTCCATTTCAAAGACTTCAACCGGGTATGGCCCAGGGGGGGACAGTTTTGAGTCTGGGGCTGACGGGGTCACACTTGTTCTCTTCCTTGAAGTCCTAGACCAGTGGTTCTCAACCTTCTGGCCCTTTAAATATAGTTCCTCATGTTGTGACCCAACCATAAAGTTATTTTCGTTGCTACTTCATAACTGTAATGTTGCTACTGTTATGAATCGTAATGTAAATATCTGATATGCAGGATGGTCTTAGGCAACCCCTGTGAAAGGGTCGTTTGACCGCCAAAGGGGTCGCGACCCACAGGTTGAGAACCGCTGTCCTAGATGCTCAGACACTACACTAATGCAGGTTATTCAGACAGTGTCACCCTTGGGGATGGAAGAGGGCAGATGTGGCTTTGGACTCTCCACACCTTGAACTTACATCTGAAGATATTTAGACAAAAGATTGGCCAAGATTCACCACCTCTGTGGTGTTTCCACCTTGGTGGTGGTCTTCCTTCCTCCTACTGTAAGGAGACCCCCTCGAGCTCCAGCCTCAGAACCAGTGGCAAGATGCTGGGGATGGTGAAAGCGAGGGGGTCTTTTCCTAGGAAGCCTGTCAGCCCTCCTGCATGGAGGCCTTACACTGGCCATGGAAGGGTGCCCAGCAGCCTCTCTCGCAAAACACTAACCTGGGTCTCACTCCACTAACAGGCTTTTGGCTTCATGGCAGGGAGACCCCCTCGAGCTCCAGCCTCAGAACCAGTGGCAAGATGCTGGGGATGGTGAAAGCGAGGGGGTCTTTTCCTAGGAAGCCTGTCAGCCCTCCTGCATGGAGGCCTTACACTGGCCATGGAAGGGTGCCCAGCAGCCTCTCTCGCAAAACACTAACCTGGGTCTCACTCCACTAACAGGCTTTTGGCTTCATGACAAGGGTGGCCCTGCAGGCTGAGAAGCTGGACCACCATCCTGAATGGTTTAACGTGTACAACAAGGTGAGTGATGTGTGCCTGTTGTGCTTGGCGAGTTCAAGTTCTGAGAACTCCACCTCCCTTGGACTTCCCTATGGGCCTCCTCACCCAGGCTGTCCACTCCTCCTGCTCCATTCATCTCTGCAAATGTTTAAAATGCACGTTAAAACACTGTTCAAGTAGACACCAAGAAGATAAAACCCAAGGAAGGAAGGGCTGTGGGAGTCCGACATAGCCACTGTTCGTAGCTCTACGTGGCCTAAATCTTTCTGAAGGAATGGAAGAATGAAGTAATAAAATTGAACTAAGAACAGCCATGCACAGCAAACATGAGATATTCCGCTGAATGAACTGAAACAGTCATTAAATGCCTGCCATGGGCCAAACGCTATCCTGGATTCTGAAAACATTAAGGCTAGAAGACATGGATAGCGTTTAGTAGGAATTGGAGTCCTTCAGTTTTTTTGTTTTGTCTTTAATCCTCACCTGAGGACATGCTCATTGATTTTACAGAGAGGGGATGGGAGAGAGAAACATCTGTGTGGGAGATAAACATCCGTCAGTTGCCTTCCTGTATGCACCCGACAGGGGAGTGAACTCAAAACCTAGGTATGTGCCCTGACCAGGAATCAAACCCGTAACCTTTTGGTGATGCTGCTCCAACCAACTGAGCCACACTGGGTAGGGCTCATCTTTAGTTTTTAGGTAACTCTCAATGTTTGGAGATTTCATTTTTAACCTAAAGCTGAAGTTGCCATTTTTTTTGGAGGTGGAATAGAAGACAGTCCTGCACTGCTGTTACAGAAACCAGTGCTGTCGGGACAGCAGCCCCCAAGGGAAACCCCGTAGTGACTGGCTGCCACAGGCAGACCTCAGAGATGTGGGTTCCGGTCCAGGCCACCACCACAAAGCGAGTCACACAGATTTGTTTCAGTGCATGTAAGAGTTATGTTTACACTCTATTGTCCCTCTATTAAGTGTGCAATGGCATTATGTCTAAAAAAGCCAATGTTCATACCTTAATTTAAAAATACTTTATTGTTAACAAGTGCTATCACCTGAGCCTTTAGCGCAGTGGTTCTCAACCTTCCTAATGCCGCAACCCTTTAATACAGTTCCTCATGTTGTGGTGACCCCCAACCATAAAATTATTTTCGTTGCTACTTCATAACTGTAATTTTGCTACTGTTATGAATCGTAATGTAAATATCTGATATGCAGGATGGTCTTAGGCGATCCCTGTGAAAGGGTCATTCAACCCCCCCAAGGGGTCACGACCCACAGGTTGAGAACCACTGCTTTAGCGAGTCCTGGCCTCTTTGCTTGAGGGACAAACTCTCTCAACTGGTAGAAACGCAGCCCCAGGGAAGTGCAGTGAAACGGGGTATGCCTGTATTCCGGGGCTCGGTGTGGCTGAGCCAACAGCTAGTGACTCTCCTGCTCTTCGGGGAAGTCCGTGGAATCAGCTGGTCCCAATCTCTGGCTCTGTTTCAGGTCCACATCACCCTGAGCACCCATGAGTGTGCAGGCCTGTCGGAACGGGACATAAACCTGGCCAGCTTCATCGAACAAGTAGCCGCGTCCATGACCTAGACCCTGCCTTGCCTCGTTGAATTCTTCAGGGGAAGGGGTGACTGATCTGGAAATCCAGAGAGAGAACGGGAGCCCCCCAAATGCTGCTGTAGTCAAAATTGCTATGTCCACCTTGCTGCCTCCATTTAGGGGCGAGTCCTTGCTGTGAGGAGAGATGCCAGCGTCACTGCCAACACCAAGAACTTGGACTGTTTTCCCCCACACTGTGCTCTTCATCTTGGGGCCCTATAGAAGGTGCCCTCGTTTGAATAAGATCTTCCCATTCCTTACAGCTTCCCAGCAACAGAAATGACTTTCTCTCCAGGCCATATCTTGCTCCCTTTCTAATTAATTTCCCAAGAAGCTGTGATAGGAGCTGTGTCTAAGACAGACAGAATCTTAGAAACCAGAACCTTAATGCCAACCCCCTCCTATGTGATAGAAATGCATGCTTTTATGCCTCAAATAAAACTTGTTTCACTTGGCCGCAGGCTAGAACCTTCTCTTCCACAGGTCAATCCAAATTGGAGTCAACAGGCATTTAAAGCACTTCCTGGGTACCACCCTGCCTTCAAGGAGTTCAGTATCCTCCAGGGGATGCAAACAGGGACACGGGTAACTGCTACTGCGCAGATGAATGAAGGCAACACTGTGCAGGGATAGGAACTGAGCGGAGAACAGGACGGGATTAACAAGGTGACTCTGGAGCTTCATTTGAGTTGTGCCTCAGACCTGAATCCGATTCCTGAGGCAGAGGTGGCACCGTGAACGAAGATGAAGGTGAGCAGGACACTGTAAACGCATGCTGAGGCCTACGCCTAGAAAGGCAGCCTGGGTCACGTCGTCTTCTTGGCCTACAACCTCAGGTGAGGAGATTTCTAATCCTGACAGCTTTCACACTTTCCTAGAAACTCAGCCACAGTCTCAAGGCTTGCCTGCTTTTCACTCTAAGGGTGATGACAAAAGCCACAGCTTAGAAGATGGCAAGCATTTTGCCACCTGAGAGTTAAGAAGCTGATTCGCGGATTGGTCCTCCAACCCAATAAGCAACTCTAGGGCAAAACACTCTCACTGACATGCGGGACAGAAGGGGGCGCTGAGCAGTGTCGTCCACGGGGTGTGCATGCCACACGGCTGTCATTTCATGTTTGCCATTATGCTAGAGTTCTCACCTATGACATCTAACCTGAGGCTGCCTGGGTACTAAGCTGACTTACAGATACCAGGATCACTTGGAGCAGGCATCTAGCAATGTCACAACCCAGTCACCCTGGAGGAGTTGGCCCTGCAACAAGGCCAGAAGAGGCAGAGGCTGGTGGTCGAGAAATAAGCATATTGTTGGTAAGAGGGACAAGCAGGCCCCCCTTCCCAGCCTATGCTAATAAGGATTATCATTGCCTATGTTAACAACAAGTTCTCAGCAAAGCCTGGTGTCAAAACCAACAAGGTACAGACAGTGGTCCCCCATCTGCTCTTCTGACGTAAATTTTTCTAAGTGCACTTTGACCTGACAACTGTGGGTTAGGGGACCGCAGCCACATCACACTGTGTCATGCCAGCTTCTTGCCTCTGCTTACGGCGTGAATCAAGGGTTGAAAACACCAAATCAGAGGACACTACAGTTGTATGAAGCACTTTTATGTGGGACAATGACACAAACAACACTTTTTTTTAGAAATAAATGTTTATTCTAAAATTATTCAAGCAATTGAAATTATAGGGAATGGAGTTAAAGAGAAGTGATAATAAAGAAAGCACAAGAAAAACGAAAGCAATTAAAACTCCAAATCAAGAAAAGGCCCTCAAACATCTGACTTTTGCCACCCAGGCTATCGATTTAGGCCTCCGCCATTACTTTTGTCACTACTGGGTTGAGCTATAAGTGGCTCATTGCTACCAAGAACACACAGAAGGCAGAGAGGCCCACAGCTGCAAGGAGCAGGTGTACGCACCCGACACCATTTCTTAGATGGGCCATATCTCCTATCAAAGCATATGCTGGCCCCTCTTTCTCTAGGGTTACCCCAAAGCAAGCAGGTGCTCAGGGAACTGAGTCATCTGGCATAAAACTACAGCAAAGACCACACTGCTCGACTTGATTCTGGCAAAGTCTGAATGGGCTGAAAGCCAGATGAAAAGCGTGGTTACCTGAATGAGTTTGGAACCTGAATAGCCCTTCAAAAAGACTTCTCGCTTCTTAGTCATAATGGGACACTCAGCAGTTGTGGGTGCAAAGGTAATCGGAGGGGTTGCATCAGTTCCCAAACCAAATGCAAGGTGTGAAGTCCGTGTCCATTGGTTAGATGGAGCTCACTGCCCAGCTGGCTGGACACTAGCCCAGATGCTTCAATCTATCATTAAGGTATACGCAGACGTGGATGACAAAGATGACAGCATAAAGCAGGACACTAACCCTGGGGAACTAAAGACCTGAGTTCCAGACCTCCTTAACCCCTAGAGTGCCGGGGAACGCGATTGCGCTCCTGTCTTTCGCCAAAAGTGCCAGGAGCGCTATGCGCTCCTCCTGCAGTATCACTATTAGATGCTAGTAGTTCACTCTTTATTGACAGATGGCACCTAAGTGCAGAAAACAAATGTAGTAAAGGTTTCCTTAAGTTTTTGAATATGTAACTTCATTTACTTGCGATTCATAATTTTTTTCCTAACTGCTGTAAAATCAGCAAAAATGCCTTGGCAATTTTAGCATAGTTCCTAGGATATTGGTTGGCACTCAAAGGGTTAAAGCAGGTGTGGCCATCACTCTCGGTGGAGCCATGAAAGTGCTGGGAACTGGGCAGGCTTGCTGCTCACCCACTCATGTCTATTTGCCCTAATATCAGTGTCACAGATAACCACTTCACCACAAGGGGGCGATCTCTCACCAGCCGTGGGTTCAAGAGCTGCCAGCATCCCATCTGGGATGATGTGCAGACACCTAATAAATGAATGCAACCATCCACAACAATCAAGATTTGGAACATTTAATTATTTAATTGCTTTTTAAGAGATTATTGCTGCAATTAGGAAGAGAACGTTGAGGGAAGGAGGAGGTTAAAGACAAAAGATTTAAAGGAGGCAAGTACCATTTTCCAAGTATAAAACTGGCAATATGAAGTGACATGGCAGTATAGTCACATGTCTACTGACTTCTAGTGCAGAAACAAGACAGTACAGTTTTTGCAGAGGCCAGTGGACATCTGCTAACAACATGATATCGTTAAGACATTCTGCCCACCTCTGCCAGACGGGGTGCTACTACAAGCAGATACACACGGAATGGAAAGCCCACAAATGTTAACTCAAACTAAGGCTCGTAAACATAAATTAAAGTGGCTACAGTAGGTCCCTTTGAAAAATAGTCCCACGACCTTCACCCCAGCCCAACCCCTGCAGCAATGTTATCACAGCACAGGGGGCGGTCCTGGGGGGACAGTGGAGGAAGAGAACACTCTGTAGGGTGCATGCTTCTCCATTTTAGCAGCCGACAAACCACAGTGGTGCCTGCTGGGTGGGGCTGGGTCCCTGGACTTCCTCCAACATAATGAATGCACTGGAGACACAAAAGACAATTCACCCACAGCTCCGACCACTCCTCCTCTCTCAGGAGATGCCCACCAGTTCAGCAACTGGAGGGAACATAACTTCCATGTCCAAAGGACCTCAGCCTCTCCCTGTAACACACACACACACACACACACACACACACACACACACACACACACACCAACCAACCACTCTTGGAACCCACAATGCACAGAATGACTCACACACACACACCCCTGCAGCGACATGGCCAGTCACAGTTTTGTGTAGAAAGTACAGTGCAGAAGAACATTTTAGACAAAAGTGGTGAGGAGCTGGGGGAAATGGTCATGTTGGCTCCTGGCCAGCATACCCAGTGAGGGGGGCGAGAGGATACCAGCCTGAAGTGGCTGAATCTTCAGGAGTCCCTGAGAAGGGGAACGGACAGAGGAGTTTCTCCCAACCCAAACAAAACCTCAAAGACTGATCCCCACCCCTGGGCCTGGGTCAGGAATAGCCACCACTGCTCCCCGCTGAGGAAAAGGCACACATACAGTATGTCGTCACTAGGGTAGGACAGTGGCTCAGGTGAGATCCAGGCAGGCCCCATGCAGGGCAGAAAAGGTAGAAAGTGGGCAGAGTTTGGCCCTGTCCCTGTACCATCCTGAGCAACTAGTCTTAAAAAATCACAAGCCCTAGGCTACAACCGACACCATCCTGTTTCCCTATTCCAAAATGTTCTCTCATCCTAGCCAGGGCTGAGAAGTGTCCAGTACCTGAGGCTGAACTGCCATAGTACCTTTGGGAGCTGAATAGAGAGGAAGGAGGCTGGAAGAACACACCAGTGGAACAAAACATTTTTCCTTGCCTTGGGGACTCGCTCATGCCCTCGTACCAACTAGGGTAAATCAAGGCAACTTGTGAAGGTGCTGTGAGCAAACATATTCTCATACATGATGGCTTAACGCAGTGGGGAGGGGAGGACTACAATGAACTTTGGTGACATATTTGAATTTGCATGCTCATCCTACCCTGATACTCAGAGAGGCAGCAATAGGCCAGGAGGTCCTAGATTCTCTGGGAATTACAGTCCCTTCCTAGTTCCAGAATAAACCAGTGGGGGCACAATTTCAAATACGAATCTCCAAAGATGGTGGAAACCAAATATCAAAGGGGACTACACACTAGAAGAGGACCATGTACCACTCAACACGCCGCCTTGGCAGCCTGACCACTCCAATCCTGCACAGTAACAATGGCCTGGTCAGCCTGTGTCTTGGGAAAAGAAAAGCTGCAGTAAAAGTAACTCTAAGAGAGACAAGTAACCCACTCGAAGAGCAGGGCTGAAAGAGCCTCCTGCTTAGAGTTACCGAACACCCACCCGGGAAAACTTCTGTCACATGAATGCTTCCTATTTGACTAAAACAATCTGCTTGAGATGACAAAGAAAACTTTTTCTACCTCAAACTGTGCCCCAGCTTCCCTAAGGAATCAGGACAGGTCAGAGCTGCCACCCCATGATTAAGTGAAGGTAAAAGCTAGAAAGATTAGAGAAGGAAATGGTTAAAACAATTCCTAGGGTGATATTTAGAACAAGGGCAAAATAATTACGTCATGGAATCCTTTGGGGCCTTCACGTTAAAAACCACAAAAGGATGATGAAAGGAGGAACTCGAATCCTGAGGATCAAGCTGTCTTGTGTCTGTCTCGTTGTGCTCTATGGAGCAAGACCAGATGTTGAATCTCCGTGGGGCCTGTTCCACACCCCAGAACCTTCTGAAGGCCAGAAGCCCTGGGGCTCAGCGGGGCTTCGGAGAGCCATTCATCTGGCTGCCCTGAGGTACAGTGTCTGTGCTGAAAAGGCTGTCCAGGAAGATCGAGGACAATTCTGCTACCTGGTTCCTGTCGACAGTGGTCTGGGCCATGCCATAGATCGCACCCTGCAAATCCAGTCACAGAATTGTTAATGATGA